ATATGCTTCTATTTTTTTCTGTAATTTGTAATCTAAGTATTTTTAAATACATTAATGTGAGTCTATAATCGAACTTAATACAAATATGTTAAAAAATCATTCAGTAGTAAAATGTCGTAATTTTAATGAACGCTAAATTCCATGCGAAAAAGCTATACTTAAAGAATATGCCAAGTATAATTTTTTCGCATTTTGAATTTATTTAAGGTGAAATAATTTTCCTGTACTTCTGTCAGCATACTTATATTAGTAGGTGTTACAATTTACATAATTGTAACATTCAATTAATTCCTTTCAGAAGATATTTTCTTCTTTCTATAGCTGAATAATTAATAATAATAAATAATTTATTATATTTTATTTATGAATACATACCTACATGGCAATTTATTAATTGCGTATAATTGTTACGGAAATTTTATAAAAATACGAAGATCATATTTGTATTTATTTATATTACTTATTGTGCTAAACCAACTAAAGTGTACAAATTAGAGCCATGAAGTTTCAGTATCACGATGAAATTGAAAAAGTAACAAATATTTGATGATTGATTGATTGATGACGATTTTTTTATAATATAAATGCAAACAAATTTGCGGTAAAAATATGACAAATGTCTACTGTGATGAAAAAAAAAAATTAAAATTTGTTGAGTAAACTATAGCTCAAATAGCAAATATACTTGACAGCAAATATCGTCATATTACAAAGTTAACAAAATTATTAAAATATGATTTTCCTAATTAAATAACATTTCTGTAACAATTCATTAGTTCCATCACCTACATATTCAACCTACGGCCAGTTTTTTTTAATTATATAAGTTTGCAATTAAAGTTATTATAGGTACTTATTAATTGTCGGCTAACTACATTGTCTATTACATAATTCAAGGGTCCACTGAAGGTGACTTTGAAGAGCAAAACAGTCTTAATAATAACGTATACAAATCTCTAAATAGTATAAAACAAATTTTTGATACAGTTTTCATAATAATTTCGAATTTCTTCTAGAAGTTTTTCTAGTTATAGTCGTACAAAGACGAAGTGGGTCGCTAGTGAATAACTGCCTTTACACGAACACGCTTCTACTTGTGAATCGTCTTTCACGCAGGTAATAATGCGCATGTATATCTTATGTAGACAAAGAGAACTAGAAAGACAGCATACGCCGTCTGATCGCGTATTCCCGCGTCCTTCGATGGTGCGTTCGCGCCTTTTTGTAATAATTATCATTTCAAAATGGCGGACTTTGGACTATAGAGCAAGAATATAATTATAGAGTTATTGATTATTTATAAATCTATAGAAAATAGAATCTATGGAATAAAAATTTAAATAAAAAAAAGTGAAATGACATTCATGTTATGAGATTCATCTTACGCATAATCACGCGAGAAAGAGTGAACAAACAAAATAGAAAAATACAATTACTCACGATTGCGCGCGCTGGCTTTCCCGCGCAAAATGCGCGCGCTCTTGATCGTTTGATAGAAAATGACGTGTAAAGTCAGGTATTTACAAAATAGTAGAACCTAACATACGAAAGTGCATTTGAATTTCAAACCCCACCCGCAGTGGTCCCCCTGTACATAAATTAAATGCATCGTACATTGCCACTTAACTTTTCTAACTACATTAATTACACAGTCCAACTGGATTGCACTCATTTGGAACTAGGCGCACCCGCCGGCGCGCGTTGTCATTTTTAATCACAACTAAATAATAAATTATATACTAATTCACTTTATATTCACTGTACGTACCCGAGTGTACTTAATATAGGGATATGGTATTTTGTGAGCATCTACAATATTACTAAGATCATTGAGATTCTTTACAATAAACAAACAATATGGGAAATGTTTTTTTTAAGAATCTTTGTAAATGAATTCAGCCAGTAATATTAAATTATACAGTTTTAATATACATTTTATTTTGGTTACTCACAACCAATCTATATATCTTTATACATTGTGACCAGTTCTAAACGTGATATAGGTACGTATCCTGACTGACGTCGAGCTATCGTAAATAGTTACTTAATTATATATTACACAAAAAATTTTGAACTGGCGATATTGTATCATTTTATACCGTAGATAAAAAAACTAAATTTAAAACACTGTTCTATTTTTAAAAATCACTTTTTTATTTATTATGTACGTCATTATGTAGCAGAATGCTATCGCTTATGCTGTGCCATTACTATTATCTATGGCCAATATTTCTTCTCTTTTTTTTAATAGACAGGTACAATGTAATATTACTAGCTGGACAGTCACTGCGTAGATGCATCAAAAGGTTCACAGGAGATTATCAAGGCATAACGGTGTGAACTTATCTGTATTGCAACGTCTGTTGCCAGTAGGAATAGCGTGGGAATGACCGCGCCCTATCGTCATTTATTGCACTGTTCATAAAACGCTTAAGTTTTAATACTGCACGTCGTAACTAAATGATTTAATTGCAGTCTACACATAACATTATAATCTTATAAATGAATTCAATAAAACTAAATCTGATTAATTACAATTAATAATAATGGATGAACCTATAACATTCGTACGTGAACAAAGACTTACTAATAGTATAACATATGTATTTAAAAATTCGTGTGTACATAGACAGAAAATAATATTGTCTCGTGAATGTATAGGATTACATATAAAAACATAAATTACAAGTAATAGATTATACAGAGGAAACTACTTAGTAAGATCCTAATTACTATTTGTTAGCCTGACTAATTAGAATCATACAGTATTAAAACGTGAGCCTAATTAAAAGATCATTGAAGTCTTTTTTACATTAAAATACTAATAAATATAAGAACAATATTAAGTATGTATGCACAGATATCAATATGAAAATTTAACATGATTAAATTTTTAAAATAAAAATACTAACGAATCACATTTTAAATAAAGAACAATACTTATATTAATAAAATTACAACCAGTACTTATTAGTGTAGTTTCTGAATAAAGTATATTGAGTTAGTCAACTTTCGGGAACGCATAGAAATAAAACTTATTGTCTATGCGTCACCCGCTAATTTGAAGTGAATAGGCATTAATGTAAATAAAAGATTATACAATACATATTAAACAGAAACCATTAGGTATCCTAGTCTTAGGCTTTGATTTCTACTAAAAGTATTATAGGAATTAGTAGTTAAAGCTTCAATTATATCATCGTTTCTCAACGTCAAAGTCAAAAGATGGAAGTGGAATCAGTTTAGGCGCGAAAAATTGTTATAATCTAAGGTAGCATCATAGACATCATAGACGTATACCTAATTAATCATAGACCATGGTCTATATTATGTAACAACTATTTATTAAAATATAATCTGTCACGACGAATGTTGTATAATATAATATTTATAATATGTACCTATTACGATTGTTAAATGCGTCTTGCATCTCACTCGCACATTAACAAATTGCATGCGAATATGACTTTCAAGTTTAGAAATGATGACAAATACAGATCAATCAACTAACGTTGGCATCATAAGAACATTTAGGCTAGATTTAGACGATCGGAACTTTGAACAACAGAATCTAAGCGGGCTAAAACATTCACCCGACGTAACTATGTACTACACAGATTTTCTGTACTTGAAATCGAAAAATACTTTGTTTATGTCCAGTTGTGTTAAGGTTATGTTCTGATCGCCTTGTGTTATACAGATCAGTTCACAAGCTATGGTAGACAGTCCTCTGGGGACGGCCGCAGCACTGCGACGATGGGGGACTAACAACGTCGGACGGATCATTTCGTTCACCTTTTGGGCTCCACGGGCATCGGGTGAAGAGTACTTGTTGTTTTTTAATTGTCATGCACGCATAGGTTGTTCGCGCATACAGCTTAATCTTCGATAAAAAACTATTTTGTATATAATGACAGATTTTTTTAAATTTGTATATTTTTATAATCTATGGCACAGACAAAAAATACGTACACATGTGATTTATAGGTTTGGAAGATAGAGATAGATGACGCAATTTCCTTATTAAACTTTTACCTTGATGTTTGAAAGAAATTGATTCATAACCCCTTGTATTAAAGTACTATCGATATAATGTTTATATTAAATAACAACCCTCTAAATTTTATACGCCATTAATATTTTGTTTTTAGCGTTTCTTCTGTATTTATTTTTTAAATATCGTTTTTATTTGTGACCATAGATAATAAATATAGCTGTATAATTCATATTAAAATAGTATTCTGTCATTTGATACACGAAACTCGCATTTCCACCAACTAACAAGTCGTAAGTACTTACATGTATTCATGTAGCATTTTTTTTTATTTCAACATACAATTAGTCTTATGTGCTTTTTTATAACTCTTGAGTAATAATTCTTTTTTTAATTTAAAATGATATCGAATTCGTTCTGGATAATAGAGTTATACATTTTGATATTTTTCTTCTGTTCCATTTATGTCTCTATATTATTAGGTTGTCTGCAACAGATTGCTTTAGCAATAGAATCGCTTATTGTATCTTATTGCTTTGGAAATTAGGTTCTTTGTTGTACACTTCACGTGCAATATATAGTAAATAGAGTATTAGAATTTTATTATTTCAAACCTCATTGGAACTTAACATTAAGGCGACGCCATGATAAACTATTGTGAGCCAGAGGTTTTGTGCGGAAAAACAGTTTATCTTGTTTAAAACAACAACTATTGGTTATTATATAAATCTGGATGGCTCTATTTAAGTGTGTACTTAGTATAATGTATACTGGAAAATTTGAGTCTCAAATCAGTCCCGTTTTATTATACAACGTAACTCTATATTTTATAAGAACATTCTTCAAGATTCTTTCTCTGCTACAAAAGATAATTAATTATGTAACGAGAACAATATATGATATCAAAGACGTAAAAAATGTAATAAATCTCAGGACAATTCACACAGCGCCATCTAGACCCAAGTTAAGCTAGCTAAAGCTTGCGTTATGGGTACTAGATAACTGATACAAATACATAGATATTTTTTTTGTAAATACATACATTTTATACATAGAAAATACCCAGACCGATACAAACAATCATACTCATGAATACAAATGTTTGTGCCGTGCGAGGAATCGAACCCGCGACCATCGGACGTAAAGCGGTGTGCTAGACCGCTAGACGACCGGGGTCGTCAAATTATTTAGATGATGTTGAGAAAAATTGATATATATAACGTCAATAATGCGATGCGTCGTAAGCGAAAAACATTTGTTCGTTGGTGGAAACTGGGAGTCATATGTGATAATTGCTAAGTATGTAATGTCACTCTTCAGCCGGTGCGGCGGGAGGCTGCACATCTCCCCCCCGGCCCGTCGTCGTTCAGTGCGGGTGCGCGGGCGGCGGTGGCGGCCCGCGCGGGGCCCGCGGTCAGTCCCCCGTCGCAGTCACCGTGGTCCAACTCCACGGGCTGTTGTAGCTCTTTTGGCTGAAAAGAAAAGAGAAACAACTATAAATATCTCATATAAAATAATAATGATCTCAGGACAATTCACACAGCGCCATCTAGACTCCAAGTTAAGCTAACTAAACCTTGTGATATGGGTGCTAGACAACTGATACAAAAACATAGATATATTTTTCGTAAATACAGCCTGGTGGTCTGTGGGTCTACCGGTTTAGCACACCGCTAATCATCCGATGGACGTACGTACGATTGACTTGTGCGCATTCTACTGTACATTATGTGTGTTTTAAAAAAATATTGTTAAGATGGTTGGATCGAAGAAAAAGATGCTTTTTAATTAATCTTGTATTTTATTTATAAACTTATGCTTTAACATTACAACGCATTGTGGCAGTGAGTGAATCAGCCGATGAATGCAATATGGCGTGCGCTCAGTTATTCCCTAATTGAAAATAGATGGCGCTACATGTTTACTACACATAACTTTATATTAATAAATTTAACCTAATACAACAAATATATTTAAGTATTTGTATCAGTTCTCCAGTATATTATAGGTATCTATTTTTTTTCTAGACTGGTCAAGATTTTTTACATTGTAAAGACATTTCGCTGATAGGCCTCTTCTAGTTCTTTCGACTGCATATAAATTAACCAAATAAGTTTTCGGCTTATCATAAATTACTTATTAATTGAATTAAACGTGTAAATTGAATACAAAATGTACAAATTTAATCAACTTCATAATTGGATGGAAATGTAGACTCGGTGCAGTTTGCACGCTGTATGTTGATGCGTTGATGGACTGTACCGCAGAAAGAAAAGCTTATTTATATGTTAACTAGTGGCCGGGATTCAGAGTAATAATTACTTTGCTATGTTAATCTTTTAGAGGCAATCTGTGCAGTTTTTACAGTACTGTAATTAGTTAATGTAACTTGGTTGCATTATGTCGAGGGAGTTGAATACCTTATCTATATAGATAAGGTTCAACTCCCTTGATCTAAGGTATTTAATTTCAGCGATTATAATAATAATAACGTTTGTTTGAACGTATTACCCCCTAATAAAGGGAGATATATAAAATATATAAATAATAATAAATTAGAATTACTTGGTCAGTATGACCCGTAAATCTAAACTACAACCACCGAAGAAATTCATAAATAAAAAACAAACTATAATAATAATAAGTACATACACACACACTCACGCTCACACACTCACACACACACATACACACATATACACACATCAGTCGCTGTTCCCGCGACTTCGTCCGCGTGGAATTTAATTTATTTTTCTGAAATTAAAGTAGCCTAAAGGCACTCCTTATTCCATCGGCTACCTACCAAGAAAAGTCCCGTCAAAATCGGTCCACCAATTTCAGAGATTAGCCGGAACAAACAGACCGACAGACCGACAGACAAAAATTGTAAAAAATGTTATTTTGGTGTATGTACCGTATTTATATCCGTTTTTTTCTACATGCATATGAATATAAATACCATACATATACCAAATTAACATTTTTTAAAATTTTTGTCTCTCTGTCTGTTTGTTCCGGCTAATCTCTGAAAAGGCTGGCCCGATTTTGACGGTAGATTTCACGATTTTCATTTTTTTTGGCAGGTAGCTGATGTAATAAGGAGTAACTTAGGCTACTTTTATTTAGAAAATAATATTTTATTTTAGAAAATTTCAATTCCACGCGGACGAGGTCTGTCTGTCTGTCGCTCTTTCACTTACATATTTTTCTTTCTTATTACATAATGAGGAGTAACTTAGGCTATTTTTATTTAGAAAAATATTTTATTTTAGAAAAATTTAATTAACTGTCCACGCGACTTTGTTCGCGTGGACAGCTAATTATATAATAAAATATGTGTTAAAACTCTATTAAACATACCTAAGTTTATAACTAGCTAATCCCACGACTTCCTATCCATATATTTTAATAAGTGAGGAACAAATTCAGTTTAACTTTATTCACAAGATCCGATAATGGTAACACTTAAAACGGCGAGTGTTGCCATTATCACGCGTTTTTGCCGGCCATAAATGGCTTAAAACATGCCATTTTCGCGTGACATGCATTTATTCATTATTCCATATGAATGATGAGTATTCACGTTTGCGATGAAATTAATCGATACATTCAGATTATACTTACCTACTGCATATATATAGATATTATTTATGATACTACTAGTTTTTTTTCGGACTACTCTAATGCTGTTGGCCGCAGCTGGCCTTTACAGCTTCACCAGACGATAGAGGGAGAGAGCAGTTGGCACTCCAAACCCGTGAAGGACTTATGGAGTGGCTGAAGGCCAACTCACGTATGACGGATACGATTTAGTCTGAGGGCACCGCTAGGGGTTCGAATCTCGGCTCAGGCCGTCGTAACATCGGTCCCCGTTTGAATTGGACGGGGCAGCGATAGGAGGGGATATTACTAGTTCCCGTTTCTTCGTCCACGTGAAAAAGACGACCAATGACGAATTACCATCCAAACTTTCATCCCCCATTTTATTTTACCCCTAATAAACTTAACATAAGCACTTCTGAATAGTCACATTTTTTTTATTCTACCGTTCATTCGGAATACAGACTCATCACAAGAAGAATGTGCCAGAAACTTGTGTGTTGTTTTTTTAAATAAATATTGTTTTAACTAGATTTACAACCTGGGACTAGATGGCGTTGTGTGAATTGTCCTAAGATATTAATAAAACAAAAATAGCTAAATTAGACGTAAATGGAGTTCACACGCCTGTATAAAGGCAGGAAGTGTATAATATACCACTTTGTCTATATGGAGTAGATTGCAGTAGATTTATTGATATCACCTTCACAAGAGACAACTGCGATACTGTAGTGAACGTATATGAAATACTAGCTGTGCCCGCGACTTCGTCCGCGTGGAATAGACGATGACGAATTTATAATAGATATATCGTTTATTTGTTTGTTACTAATCACACACAACATGTTCATAGGAATAGACAATACAAAATACGATATAAGATTTATAAAACTGTGTTATTATGTGTGATCTGTAGCAATACAAACAGGTCGAAGCTCAGCGTGGAACATTGTTCAGGGAACAAAACACTGATTTTCAGCTTCAACCCATTTGAGGGTACGTGAAAATTATAATTAAAATAAATATAAAAGTAAAAATAAAGTAAACAGTTCAGAGTATAATTTGATTTAATTTTAAAAGAAAATATTAATAAGAAAAACATCAAACACACGTGAGATTGCAACCGCCAAGAAATTTCTGTGGGATGCCTAGAATTTGTTTTTTTATTAAGTATTCTTTGTGATGTTTTTTAAAACTGTGTACGGTTCGGTTACGGTTAATTTCCATACAAACTGTCATCCTCTATTTTGATTTAACCCCATTGAGTGTAAAATTTTTACAAATAGTTTTTAGTGTTATTTATATTTAATCCACAGCCTAAAGATGTGTAAGTTTCAAGCTTCTATAATCCTGATATCTTCATAATAAGCCTGTGAACCATACACGAGTTATTTTATTCAATAGATGTAAATCATAAAAAAAAACGATTTACATTGTAAAATGATTGCTATTACAAGTTACCTACAGTCCACTTTTGCATTGATCAACTGTGAACGAAACCAGTCTGTGGACTAAAACGAAACGTTAGCGCCTTCTACTTTTGCAACAGCGCCATCTAGTGGTCCGCGGGGTAAGCATACGTTGAAATTATATTTACTTATTTTACTACTATCTATATAAACGTACAATTGCCGTAATGTATAAAGCCTACCAAAGGCCGAACATCATTTATTTCGGCCGGACACGCAATCAAAAACACTAACTATGTATGTTATTCTGATGTATAAGCATATATTATACTGTAAAGTTTCATCAAATCCCGTTCGGTAGTTTCTGTGTGAAAGAGTAACAAGTCCATCCATAGTCACAAACTTTCGCCTTATAATATTAATAAGATTATCTGTGGTCTATGTCCGGCTCTATCATTTACACGCCAGGCAGCTTTATACGAGTTATTCAATTAGATAGATGTAAATCATAAAAAAAAACGATTTACATTGCAAAAATGATTGCTATTAAAAGCATTATACAGTCCACATTTGCGTTGATCAACTATGAACAAAAACTAGTCTGTGGACTAAAACGAAACGTTAGCGCCGTCTACTTTTGCAACAGCGCCATCTAGTGCTTGGCGCTGTCATCACACGTTGAAGTTATAATAATACTAGCTACTCGCCCCGGCTTCGCACGGGTGTTTATGTATTATATATAAACCTTCCTCTTGAATCATTCTATCTATTAAAAAACCCGCTTCAAAATCCGTTGCGTATTTTTAAAGATTTAAGCATACATAGAGACGGACAGACAGCGACAGCGTCTTTGTTTTATACTATGTAATGATGATTTACTTATAATTATTATTTTATTATTATTTAATATTTACTTATATCTATATAAATAAATAACATTTAAGTGTCTGTTCGTAACTTCAAGTTACCAGCTTTTTAATAAATGCAAATGAAACTATATACTGTATTTACATAAAAAAAATTGTCGTCTGTTCTTGCTGATCTCTGAAACGGTTGGACCGATTCTGATGGGACTTTTACTCGCAGATGGCTAACGTTATAAAGAGCTACTCTTATTTCATAAATTTTATTTATTTTAACAAACAAAAAGTTAATTTCAAATTTTATTAAAATAATATATCTATATATATATATAAATGAATTGCTGTTCGTTAGTCTCGCTAAAACTCGAGAATCTGTTCAGCTGGAACCGATTTGGCTAATTTTAGATTTGAAATATTCGTGGAAGTACAGGGAAGGTTTAAACAATGATAAAACATGAAGAAATTGCATGTAAAATAGTAAAAACAACAATTATACTTTCCCATACAAATTGCTGATACCTTTGACAGGGTGCGTTCAGAAATTTATTGCCTAACTAAACTTAAAAAAGCTTTGACATATTTAAGTTTCAGGCCGAATGG